GAAAGTGCCATCGGAAGGGAGGCAGAACCATCCCACCAACCCTGCTGAAAGACTACTTCATGATCTCCTCCTCCCTCCTCCTCCCCTTTTCCTTGTGTGCCATCCCCTTTTAGACCATAAACTCACAGGCTCAAGGACTGTCCTGTTTTACTGATTTCATGCAATCTGCTCCAGCCAAGTTTTTTGGCTAATTAGGTGGACAAAAGCACTGGAAGGTGCATTGAAACAGGTCCCACAGCTCACACATCCCCACAGCTAGGAGCTCTAGGACTTCCTTCTGTCCAAATGTGCATAGAATTGCACCTCGAATAAAGCAATATCGATGGCAGCATGAGACCAGTACATGGGCAGTCCAGAAAAGCAGTTCCAGAGGAGCAAAGAGACTGGGCAAAGGGCTGTCTCCACGCCTTTGTGCGGCTTTCTGGAAGTATTCTGGATACCCACCATAAGAAGGAGCAAGATGGTGGCCCACGGATCTTTGGTCTGACTTGGCAGGGTTCTTCCTATTTTCATGCTCTATGGAAGGCAGGACATGAACTCATGCGCCAGTTCGCCAGCTTAGTGTGCCGCGACGCCGGGGGAAGGAGGGGGGATTTCAACAACACTGTTTGCATCGTGCCTTCTCCTTTAGCAAGCGTTGCAGCTGGCAGGAAGGGCACCCCTGTTTCAGGAGATGCTATCTTCATTGCTCTCCTGGCTTGAGAGCAGGCTGACGACAGCTGTGAGGCAAACAGCTTCACAAGAGCATTCTGCCAAGAATAATCACATCCCTAGAGGTGAGAGAGGCAATTCGTGCTTCAGGAAGGGAGCTCCCCCCTCCCTCTCCCCCCTGGTCATTTGCTTGCTGTCTTCGGCTGGGGGCACTGGGGGCCTCTTGGGAAGCATGTGAAATGAGCCAAGGGTGGTTAGGAGGCGGGGCAGTTGCTGTCCCTCTGCGGTAGAGAGAGCGGTGAAAGCGGACGGGTGCCAAAATGGGGGATCCATGCAAAGTCTTCGCGGTGCCCTTTCGGCAGCATTTGCTTGCCCAGCAGAACTCATTGCCACAGGGAGGAGATGCGGCGAGGGTGGGGTGATGAGGATCATGATGCAATCATAGGCTCCTGGAATAGTTGAGTTGGAAGGGGCCCAGCAGGCCATCTGGTCCACCACTCCGAGTTAAACCATCCCTCTCAGAGGGCCGTGCCCTCAGTGCCTCCAGGTGGGGCAGCCCATGGCCTCCCCGGTTAATTGGATGAGGCTGAGGATGACGAAGACTTCATTTCTATACTTCCCAATCGCTGAAGCTGCGTGGGCAGTTCGCAGCTGTGCATCAAAACACAAAGCACCAATGCCATGAAATATGGCAGGGAAGTTTTTCAGGATGCAACATGTTAAAACAGAAAAAACCATTTCAGCACAAATGAGACCTCTTAAAGCAGCTGACAGGAATGCCGCTACACTCCTAAATGCTATTCAGTGCCTGGGGGAAGAGGGCAATTAACCTGGTGCTGGCATGATGGGCCTATTAGGGAGATCGTTCCAAAACTGGGGGCCACCACTGAGAAGGATTTGTCGTTGCCCTCTTTGCCTCTGTTCTCAGGGGAGCTGGCGACACATCCATCCTCTTGCTCTGCAATGGGAAGTATTGATTGGTGCTTGCTATCTATATGCTTTCCAGGTGCAAAGCAGCATCCAAGGGAACCACACCAAGAAGCCGCCCTCTGACTTTCCAGCTCAGTGAAGGAGTGCTGAGGATGCAGCAATGGGAAGAGCAGCGTTGGTTGGAATGATGCGCCCAGTTCTCTGCCTCTTGCCCATGTTGCACGGACCTGTTCAGGCATCAAACCAGCAGGACATGGTGACCAACAGAATTAGGCTAATCGCAATCTTCTTTAGGAAGCGCGTGGGCCAACCAAGTGAAAGCACATGGGTGTGTCTGCAGGCCGTTGAGCAGTTTTTAATCATCTGATTGCAAATGCCCTGCCTGCCTTAGATTTATATCCCACCCTTTTTCTGGTTTAAAGAACTCAAAGTGACTTACATAATTCCACTCCTTCTGCTCTCAATCTTATCCCCACAACAACAACCCTGTGAGGTAGGCTGGGCTGAGAGTCTGTGACTGGCCCAAAGTCACCCAGTGGGCTCCATGGCTGAGCGGGGACTCGAACCCGGATCGCCTCAGACCTGGGCTCTTAACCACTGCGAGTGTCTGAGTCCTCCCTAACCGAAGAGAACCATGCTGCTCTCTATGCAACACAAGCAGTATAAGAAGCATGGAATCAGAGAGGAGTCCTGCTGGGTCAAACCAAGGTGCACCTAGTCAGCACGTGGTCATGGGAAGCACATGGGTGGAACATGGGTGCAGCAGCACTTCTGCCCATGTGCTCCGGCAGCAGCAAGCAGCAGCAGGAATGGTGTGCCTACGAGCAAAGCTCAGGTTTATTCAGGTACTGCAAATTCCCCCTGAAAGTTCATTCTGACTCAGATCTACGAGGGGGGACTCCAAGCCCCCCAGGAATTCTCTTCTGGAGGGCGCCCCCCTTGCAGTCCAGGCTTCCCCCCCTAGGTGAGTGTTCTTTGAACCCACCTGCACCAGGGTGCCCAGCTGGGTTGTTGTGGGATGCTGCATGCAGCTTCAGTGAGGCTTTTTTGAGACTCTTTGAATGCATTTGCCTATTTCGCAGGGGCTGATTTACACGAACAATGTCTGGGGATGCAATTTTGTTCAGCTGAGTGTTCCGCAGTTTTGGATCAAAAATGGCCTGACCCCTGCGGCCCCCTCCCTATTCACCTGATCTCCCCCCTTACAACTTATTTTTTTTTGGTTTCCCTGGATGAAAACATCTTCGAAGGGGAACATTTTGCCCATGTGGAAGAGGGGAAGCAAAAAATGGAAGAAGCACCAAAAGGCATCAAAATCAAGAGTTCAAAACCTGTTTTGACCAGTGGAAAAAACATCTCAATCTCAAACATCTCCACATTGCATCAAACAGAGAGTACTTTGAAGGTGACTGAAATTTGAACATGTAAAAATAAATACACAATATTTTATGAATGAATTCCTGTCTTGGGGGGAGGGGTTCCCCTCATATATCAGAGTGTGATCTTTATAGGTCTTTTTTTTCTTTCTGCCACCCCTCCCCACAAACGCACAAAGAAAATGAACACTAGACTGGAAACCACATCCTGTATAGGCTCAGAGGCACTCTTTACAGACACTTTTCTCATCTGATCCCTGCAGCTGTAGAAGAAGTTCTATCAGCAAACCACAACAATATTTGATACCACCCCACAACGGGCAGTTTACAACAATCCATAAAAACAGACAATAAAAGTACAACAAAAACACCGTATAATCAGACACAAATTAAAGTTTAAAACAGCTAAAGAAAGACAATAGCAAAGAATGGCTTTGCAAAACAGCTGGATGAGTAACCCACTCAAGCCCCTCGGAGGCTAAGTCCTTAAAGGTCTCGGGGAAGAGGGCCACCTTAAGGCTGAATATGGTTTCGGAGAAGCAAAGGGAAGGGATTGGGTTCCCAGATTCACTGGATTGGCCCCTAGGACCAAAGGTGTTGGACTCCCATTCTACAGTGTGCTATGGAAGACGGGGTTCATTACGACCCCGTAAAGAATCAGTTTAACTTTTAAGGACCCCCAAATGAAATTAAATGCTGGCACTTGGGAGTCTGCACTCGTCTCATCAGCAAGCGACTTCTTGTGAATCCAGGGTCCCAAATGCACCAGCCATTGCCCCGTGTGTGTGTGTGTGTGTGGCTGGCAGGGGTGCTTTGTAGTGGGGGGGAAGAAGCCCATTGTCTCTCCCTTTCAGAAGTCTGTATTTCAGCAATAAGAGCAGCCGCAACTATTTTAAAGCCGTCGCAGGACTTGTATGGATGTGGCGTCATCCACCAAGGAAAACGGGTCTTTCAGACTTACCAGTAATATGCTTTAAAACTTCAGGGATTGAGTTACGTGCAAATGTGCTGCGCAGTTTGTGCCTGACCAGAACCGGCAACTGGAGGTCCCCTGGTGTCTTTGTTCCTTTGCAGCTAGTCAGAAATGTGTTTCTTCCCCCAACACACGTGTGTGCGTGCCCACTTGGCTTTTATTTCTTCTCCTTCCCTCATTTTCTTTTACAATGCACGTCTATTTGAACAAAGGAGTAAATGAGCGGCCTCCGTTAGGTTTTTCCGATACTTCTCCCACCCTGAAGAAAAGAATTTGGGTTTAGAACAGGAATGGGGGCCAGGTAGGGGAGTCAGTGCTGGGGGGAAGATAACATTTGCTTTCCGATGCCAAACTGCAGGCATCCCAGGTGCATTGTCTAGGGTTTCCTGTAATTTACCTGCAGAATAAGCAGTCTGGGGGAAAAATGTTTGCAGCACTGTATGTGCGTATTAATTACACAGCAGGATAAAATGATTTCTTTGTGATTGGAAAGGTAAACGACCTGCAGGGGGGGAAATGGTTCTCCGGATCCGTTCATTGAGACGGTCTCCAGTCTGGAAGAAGGGGTCATTGGTACAGATAGTTTTTGCCCATGTGAGGTTCGTTTTGAGATGACTTTGGCTTCCCCACAAACCCCACATGGTGCTCCAGGGTAAATGGCAAGAATACCGAAGATTAGGAGCAATAGTCAGAGCTATGGGTTTCCCAGTTGTAATGTATGGCTGTGAGAGTTGGACTATAAAGAAAACTGAGTGCTGAAGAATTGAGGTCTTTGAATTGTGGTGCTGGAGGAGACTCCTGCGAGTCCCTTGGATTGCAAAGAGATCAAATCAGTCAATCCTAAAGGAAATCAACCTTGACTGCTCTTTTGAAGGCCAGGTACTGAAGATGAAGCTCAAATAATTTGGCCACCTACTGAGAAGGAACAACTCACTGGAGAAGACCCTGATGCTGGGAAAGACTGATGGCAAAAGGAGAAGGGGGCAGCAGAGGTTGAGGCGGCTGGATGGGGTCACTGGGGTGGTGGGTGTGGGGTTCAGTGGACTCTGGAGGATGGTAGAGAACAGGAGAGCCTGGAGGAATGCTGTCCATGGGGTTGTGAAGGGTTAGTCATGACTTTGTGACACTCTTGGGGGAAGGAAGGTGTGGATTGCCTGGGGTTGACTCCCTGGACTCTGGCTAACCTTCTCACAGCCATGACTCAAGTCCAGCTTCCAGGCGCACCATGTGGATGTTCACCAGGAAGAGATGCTGTGCAAGCAGCATCCCTTTTCAGTGCCTGTGACTTGTGGACTTTGCTTGTGCTGCACGAGCTGAAGAAGTTTGTCCGTTGCACAACTGGAGCTCCATGAAGGTTTGTGGACTTCTTCTCAGCTCGGTTCACCTCCCGAACATGAGAAGTCCAACAGACAGAAGAGAGACTGATTCCAAGAAGGATCACCACGACCCCACCAGGATGGAGCTGATCGGACAACTATGACTTGACCGTATGACTTGGTTTGTTTTACTTGTGACCCATTGGTGAGGTGAGAGGGAACTTGGTGTCCTCTAGAACCTGGTGTCCTCCAGCGTGGCCATCAGTCAGAGCTGATGGGATATGGCATCCAAAAAGGATCTGGAGAGATATCGGTTGTAAAAGAGTAAGGCCTCCTTCCGTACATCCACCCCCTGCATTGCCATGGCTGTTTGTTTTGCTAATTTCTCCTGAGACAGAATTGAGTGGCAGATTTTTTTTTCCCAGGAGAAAATTTACAGGCCATATTCAGGACTATCATCTTGGATCAAATACAGGAGAAACTTCATGAGAAGGCAAGGTGGGTTTCTTTCCCAAGCAAAATGCACATCGCTGCTGGGAAAAGAAGCATTTTCAAGGACTGACTTTAAACTGAAGTGAAATTATGAAGCTGAATTACAGCTGTCCTGCTCACCATAACTACCCAGGTTCCCTGAGATGTGCTGCACTACAACTCCCATCATCACCCGTGCAGGATGGGTACTGCAGTCCAATGAATCCAGAAGCAGGTCAAGGAAGGCTGACTAGGAGATTCATGCTGAAACAAAAGTCAGGGGACTTTGGGGAAGGAAAAGTTGTTTTGACACTCAGCAAATCTTTATTGAATGAAAAGGGATAAGAACATCACTAAAGTCAGATGCTCTTGACCTTTGGGGGAGTTTAGTTTTTTTGCTTGCTTTGTTTGAAAGGTGTAGAATTTGATACGTTATCGACCCATGAAGAAGTCTTGAATCAATCACAAGATTTTTTAAAAATCACAAAAATCTGTAAGCCCCCTCCCACCAACAGTGCCTTTCTCTGCCCCCCCTCTCTTTTAAAGTCAATTTTCAAAGGCAAAAAATGCAAGACTACACATGAAAACTGAATACAGACATGGACGGAATCCAAAGGTGAAGCCCGTTTGGAAAACCAACCCTTTCGGCAAGGATTGTGTGGTGCATCAAAAAGGTGCGTACAAAGAAACCTGCTGAGGCAGAGAAAGACCATTGATCAGGATCACCTGTCTCAGGGATGGGAAGAAAGATCTCCAGATGTTCCACACTCCAGCTCTCAGCATCCCTGGGCACTGGCCATGCTGGACGGAGCCTCATGTTCTTCCAACTGCCTACTTTACCCCTACAATGGCAACTGATTTTAGACAGCTAAATCCGATGCTAGCCAAAATGTTTCCCCTTCTTCTGGCAAGGTGGAAGTGTCTGCGTCTAGAAATAAATGGTTGCCCAACTTTATTTTATCACTTTGATGCCCACCCTCTTTGCTTCTCTTTTAAACATCCCATTCCACTATTTCTTAGAGTGCCTTCCTATTGCAATGCCCATCCTCCCCCAAGCTTGGCGAACCCAGAGGCCTAATTCATCCTATGCAAAGCAGGACTGATGGGGTGATCTGGATCTTGGGCAGCCTTTTGGCACTTTGGAGGTGGAGGGAAGGGGGAAGGGGGTGTCTCAGGCATTCCCAGCCTTCTCCCCTCCCTTCCTGCTGAAATATGTCCTTTGGCCCTCCCTGATATCCTGTGACTCCTCTGGGCTATCCAGGGGCCAAAGGATTTCTGCCTTAATTTTTCACCTTTAATTCTGTTTATATTTTATTGTCCTAAAGCACTCTCTTGGAGTACCATTATGCTTTTTAAAGGTTGCTTCAAACATTTTATCACATTTCCCTGTTTGATTTCGGATTCTTTTATTTTCTTGCGTTTTTGTAAACTGCCTCGATAGAGTTTGGAAAGATGGTGTGAGAAGGAACGAACTTGCAAAAACACGAACAATAAACCACCTTGAGGAGGCTTTGCTTCGAAAGGTGACATAAAATGATTTCAAATAAATACGGGAAGGAAAGAAAAACCCTCCATGCACCCTTGTGCTTTTGCTGATTCTTCCGGGAGAAAATAGAAGCTTAATTTCTTGGAGGTGTTTTGTTGACACCCCAAATGGAAAGCATGTCTCTCTACTCCCCTTATTGTGCTTCCAAGTAATGAAAGTATTTAAGAAGGTGCAATTATGGATTTGGCAAGCACCCGGGGTTCTTGGTACAGCTTTTTCACACTGAATAAACACATGCACTCAATCTGTTGATATTACAGCACACGGGAGAACTGTCTACAACAAAAGGTACAGCCATCTTATTCAAATCTCTCTCCTCTTCCTATAGACATATAGGGAGAGTGGGGAGAGAGATGCATGTTAAATACTTCTTTGCCTCAATCCTTCCCCAGGTAGGAAAACTAATGATCCCTTAAGGTTAGAACTACACAAGGCATGCAACTGTACATGAAAAGCCAGATTTCTGCTTTTTCTAAGGAAAATATTTTTAAAAGAAATTTTAAGTTTAGGAATGAAGAAGTGGGGTGGGGTGAACTTTTCCTGTGAACAATTTTTCTGAAAGGAGAAGGAAAAGTAATTGGGACCATCTTACTGATGGGAAAGTGAGGCAGTTGCTGGAAGAGAAGGTGTGGAGGCCAAGTGTTGGAAGACAGACCTTTCCCACTCAGCCTTCCCTGTGTCTAAGATGTCATGGAGGGTGGATGTGTGAGAAACGTCTTTCAGTTCATCAGCAGCTTCCAGACTGAATAAAGACTTGGGCATAATCTGTAGTCAAAGTTGTGCATTTTATAGTATGCAGTGTGATTCACAGACTACAACAAATTTCATTCGACCATGTGTATACTTAGAAATCTGTGCATGAGAAATGTGTACTTTTCAAGATATGCATTAATCAACAGGAGAATAATGCATCTCGATAGTGCATTCAATTGATCTCTTAGTATAGTAGAGTTGGAAGGGGCCAGAAGGCCATCAGGTCCAGCCCTCTGCTGTTGCAGGGCACTATCTTACTCAGATGACTGTCCAGCTTCTTTCTGAATGTCTCCAGTGAAGGAGAGAGCACAACTCCCCCAGGCTATAGGTTCCATTGTCATATTGCTCTGACATTGAGGAAATTCTTCCTGCTAAAAATGTTTTCTTTTAACTTCATTATTCTGTGTCCTGCACTCTGGGATGAATGAGAAGAGATCTTGTCCTTCCTCTTTGTCGCAGCCTTTGAGGTACTTATAGAAGGATACCATGTCCCCACTGTCTTCTCTTCTCAAGGCTGAACATGCCCAGTTCTCTCAGTCTCTCTTCACAGGGCAATGTTTCCAAACCCTGGATCATTTTTGTTGCCCTCCACTGGACCCTTTCTAATTTACCTGCATCTTTTTAAAAATTTAGATGCCCAGAACTCTACAATCAGAAAAATGTGCATGAAATATCTGCACAACTGGACAAACATACATAAAAATACGTGTGGATTTTCATGTACTCGTGCAAACAAGGCTTGCAGTCTGAAGGGAATGAGTTCTGAGAAACTCAGTGAGCTTAAGTTTTGTTCGTTTGCACATCCCTCGTTTGGCGGGAAGGAAACATGTGAAGACCCTGTGGAGAAGAAGATGACTGAGATGGTGGGGTGACCTGAAGCAGAGACATGGGGATGCAGCCAGAGCTAAGGACCCCCTGCCACTTATCCACTCAAAAACTCCCCCCTGACATTCTGCAGCACACATTTGCATGTCATCTTTTCACGGGCCCTAAGAGGCTTCTTAAAGGACAGAGATAATGCATCAGCTTGGCAGGTAGCAGGGTTGAGGCTCGTGAATGTTCCGTTAAAAGATCAGGAAGAAGGTGATAGGAAAGACCTTTCTCTACTAAAACACTGGATTGCCTCTTTTCTAAGACTAAATCTTACTGGGCTGCTGAACCTCTTTTTGCACAGATCTGGCCTAGATCCAGTTTCAGGGGAGCTCTTGAGTGGGAAGGCCCAGAGGTAAAACAGGGCAGGGGCATCAATAGAGTTGGGATGAATCCTTTTGGAATCCATCCCTCTGGTATTTGCGGAGTTCCTCTTGGGTTTGCCTGGGCCTGCAACTCAAGCCGAGCCAAGAGGAAGTCTGTGGATGTTCGAAGACCTAGGCTGTGCAACTGGCACCCTTGCCCGTCAGGAGTGGCTGCAGGACATGGAAGAGGGGTGCTGCAAGAGGACATGCCAGGCACCATTCTTGGCGACCGACCTTCTCTCCTGCTCCCTGGTGCTGATGGAGGGGCCAACGTGGGGTGCTGTGAGCGGGCTCACCAGCTGCCATTCTCGGTGACCAACCTTCTTCCCCACCCACTGCCGCCGGAGCCGGTGCATGAGAAGGGGGACACTGCTTCTACAGCACAGGCGGCTTGATTCCTTCTCGGCACCCTTCAACCATGAGGCGTGCTCCCCAGGACCACCATGCTCTGATCAAGGCTGCTGCAAAGGGGATGGGAGTCTGGAGAGCCAAGATTCCTCACACGTCCCTAGGTACCAACAGTGTCAGCCTGTGTTAGGTCCTAGCTCTGACTGCCGGAATCTAAGCTGTCGGATGGGCATCCGAATGCTCTCGAATGAGGAGACGGGGAGCTGGGCAAATAGCGCCGGATGATTGGCAGTTGGTAGGAATGGTGTGGAGCCAGAGCATTGGGCATGGCCACTGGCGGAATGTGTGGATTGGGGCTCCGTGTGGCTGAGTTTCTGCACCCATGCGCTGGATACACGAATAGCATCATGTAGTCCATGGCAGTCTGTTCGATTTTGCATTGAAACAATGCACATCCTGAAAAGTAGGCACTTCTAAAAGTGCAGCTCTTTAAAGCACATTTTCATGCTTTAATCTATGGGGAAGTAAGCATTTTCTTTTTTGAAAAGGAGCTCCTTCCCCCCTAGCCCCAGTTGAACTATGCACTTTTCTTGTTTGAACAAAACACAATCAAGGGCAGCGAATGGGTGAGTCTCAAGCTGCTATTGAAAGAATTTGGTGATCAGAAAAAGCACCTGTCGATCCATTCCTAGCCATGTAAGAAATTCTGCTTACATGAGATTCCCAGCAATGAGAGAGAACTCGGGATCCAAGGACTAGTATGAATTGGAATAAGGAAAGAGACTAAATGAAGTGTTGGGAGAGTGCAAGCCAACACAAGGCTGGATCTCTCGGGAAGGAGTAGACGTGCGACAAGACAGCAGAGCAACATGGCTCCATGGTTTCCATTCATTTCCCTTTCTGAAGACCTTCGAACTCTTAGTGAATTTTCAACCAAGTATACTTGCCTCTCTCTCTCTCTCTCTCTCTCTCTCTCTTGATTAGTCTTCCCCCGACCATGTGCCTTCCAGACACATTTGGACTGCAACACCCAGAATTCCCAGTCAATGGCCCTGGTGGATGGGAATTCTGGGAGTTGCGGTTCAAATGCCTCTGAAAGCCACCAGGTTGGAGAAGACCACTCTGGATAGACAGTTAACTAAAACACACAGAGAAAGAAAATAACACACATCTGCACACACTCCATTTATATGCTGCATAAATGGAATTGTTCTACTTTTTCCATAGATATTGAGATTCCTTTTAGGCTGTTTTACTGTGGATATTTCATATGCATGAACTTACAGGCTAAGAAGTATTTTCTTGAGTGGTCCTATCTATTATGCAAGCTCTTCTTTTTCTGCCTTCATTTTGTTGCCTTCATTCCAAAACGAAATAAAATAAAGCAAAACTTGTTGATAATGATGATTCCCAGTCCAGATTTCCCATTGCACTATCGACTGCACCTCATTGCTGTTTGGCTTTTCCATTCCTTTTGGACTGAAAATAAGCGTATGTTTTGCAGTGTCCTAAGCTTTTCTCTTCCAGCAGAAGCTTTCATTCCTCCCAGCGACTGCCTGGGACTCTTCTCCTCCGGCACAGGGAGGGGCAGGGCAGGCGAGGCCTACACAGACAATGCTGCCTTCACAGATACGACGCCAAGACCCAGTCGGTGGCACCATGGCTGCCTCCCAAATCGCCTCTGCTCTCACCCTCCTCGTTACAGCCACTTTCCATATGGTGCTGCTTGCACTCAGCTGCTCCTTCAGGTTGCTGTGAGAAAGGGGTGGAGGGAAAGCCGACACATTGATTTCTGTCAGTTCGGTGCCAGAGCCATTCTGGACGGCCAGGGGCTGATTCTGCGACTCGCGCGTCCCCCTCGTGCTCGACACGGCTGTGTCAAACTCCGCACCTTCTGCAACACTCGCCACCACCGCCTCCTCCTCCTCCTCAATAACAAAACATTCATCACCTCCTCTTCCTCCTCTCTTGAGCATTGTCACCTGCGGTGGCAGGAGGACACTCGGAGGCAGCTGGGTTTGTTTTGACAGTGCCAACTCTCTCTCTCTCTCTCTCTCTCTCTCTCTCTCTCTCTCTCTCTCTCTCTCTCTCTCTTTCTCTCTCTCTCTAAGAGGGAGGAACAAGATTTCACAAGGCTGGCTGCTCTTTGCCATGTTGCTTTCCAGGATGTGAACTAGCGGGTGCTTTCTCCTTGGCAGAGAGCACAGATTCTGCCCCTGAATACCACAGACCACCCCCATAACCAATATTTAGCACACGGCGATGAGAAGGATTGCCCGGATGTGGCTGGCAAAATTCTGCTCCATTTGCAAGTGTCCCTCCGCTCGGCTCCCACATTGGACGAGGATCTGTGTTTATGTGGAAGCTTTAATGCAGCTTTTGCTAGCCTGGGGCCATTTGGCTGATTTGGACTACAGCTCCCTGCAGTGCTGGACATTTTGGACTGGGGATGGTGGAAGCTGAAGTGGCAAACATGTGGAGGAATCCAGGTTGCAGAAGGGTGATTTGTGTGGTGATAAGACGCTGACAACAATTGCCTTTCTAATTTTGTCGCCTGCACGATTCTGCAGGCAACCGTGGGATTGTCAGACACCTGGCAGCTTGCTGGAGTTGGCTGGTGACTTGTGGGTCAAACATGCAGGCCTGGATCTCCTACAAGTCTGGTTCAGCAACACGGGATCAAGCCCTCCGTTTCCCCCCACGATGGCCCTTTAGTCTTGCAGACTTGGCTGGCCAAAAGAGTGATGGCGAAGTGCAGCCCTTTGGCTCTCCTCAGCTCTTTGGGTACAATTAGGCAATTCCCGAACACATATGCACATAATAAATAACCCAAACATATTCTTAGCCATAATGAGTACCTCTCCATAAAGTTAATGCTCTGTGAAACAACAGGGAAGTTAAAAAAAGGAAGCGAAAGAGTGAGCTACATCATCTGTGGCAGCTGCTGTTGATTTCATGTCAGGTCCTCTGCATAAGTCCTGGCAAAACCAGCCAAAGCTTGCTCGGGATGTCAAAATCAGCAAGATCTTCAAGCACCTGGCAGGTTGCCTCGCGTGGCTGGTGGCCTGCATGCGGCTGCTTGGGCTGGGAGTGGTGGGGCTGCTCCAGCCATGGTTACGCCGCGCTTCTATTCAGTGTTGCATTTAATCCGACTTGAAACAGAGAAAATGCTTTCCCCCTCTAAACTTCCAGGTACATGCATGGGTCATGCACACAGACAAGACAAAGGCACAGACTTACCTGGAGTGAAACTGTAGATAGGAATGCAAGGTCATGTCTCTCTCTCTTTACACTAGATGGCTTCCAGCAGATTAAAGGGCCATGAGAATTGTTTCTGGAAGGGACATGCTGGTAGTGCTGTGCACGCACTGAATACCACACACACATTTGTTGGCTTGTGTTGGCAAGCCAGAGCAAAGAGGAGGACCTAAATACGCAAGAGCATAGGCAAGCTTGTTTGCAATGGCTGAACCCAACATAACATGTGATTCTGTTAATAGTGGAGCGAATGCTCGGATGCTCACGGAGTTCCAGTTCTGCAACCAGCAACCTTCCTCTGTGTCACTAGCAGCACAAGCAAAGGCCACAAGTCATGGGAACATAGAAACAGAGTGAGTCAGAAGGGACCTCCCGGGCCATCTAGTCTGACCCCCAGCTCCAGCCAGCTCTGCTCATGACATGCCCACCATGTGCACGTCCACTTGGGCAGAAGAGGGACTCTCCCACATAGCAGTTACACAAGACCTGATTCCTGGTGATCATGTGCAAACACTCAGCCTGCTCACCAGGAACTCAGACTCAAAGCTGTGAGCCTCTGGGAAGCTGCAGGCATTCCGCATGATGGCATTACCATAGGGATGTGTGAGGATCAACAGAATACCTCTGCCATGAGCTTGGTCATTCCCTTCATGCCCTTAGGCTCCAGAACACCGACAACCTTCCTGCAATGCAAATCTGTATTGGCACTTCCCAGCTGCAAGAAAAAGTAACTGTAAAAGTCCTCTACTGAGTTGGAAGACAACCCTCTGTTCATGTCAAGAGTGTTGAACCCAAATTGGAAACTTCTCCTTAAGATCCTGCCTCTTCAGTAGCTCCGTGGGTTGCATTCTCAGGGTGGTTCCCACTGGCGAAGGGCTAACTGGCGAGGCCTACGCAAGTCCTCTAGCTGGGCACCTCATCATGGGGTCAGGACTGGGCAAGACCATGGCTCTACCTCCCCCCACTCCTCAGACCCCTCTCCTCTCCTTCAAAACATCACCACTCTCCTGGTCAGCCTGGGAAGCTGTGGGCAGTGGCCCTGAGGGTGCTTCAAAGGCCTGGGCCTCTCCTTGAGTTTCCAAAATACCCGTTGCTGAGTCTTCAAGGTCTCCTCCTCCTCCTCCTCCTGTCATGATAACCCTGGAATGCCTGCTAAAAGTGTCATTTGGGTTCACTCCCTACTGCCCCAGAGCAGAGGTGTTGAGGAGCATTGAGGATAAAATAATTCCCTCTAGCACCCCATAGCACAAGCAACAGGGAGCTAAAGGGCACACCCCCAACACCACAGGTAGGGACAGAGTCACTGAAGTGCAGTAGCCCCAGTATCCATACCACCAAGCCAAACTGGAACAATATCGGTATCAATGGGTGGTATTGGTGAGACCAGAAGGGAGAAGCAAGGTCGCATTCCCTCAGTCCCTTCTCTCATTAATGGCCATCACACAGGGTGACCGAGGCTGATTCATCCCCAAACCGGACAGGCTTCATCCAGTTCCTGAATTTACCCCAACAATCTTCTCACTCACGTTCTTAAAAATGGCGTGTTTGTGATGGGCCAGTTGTTGTCACAAATATGCAGGTAAGTCCTGGGCTGCTCCTGGAGTGGTCACACAAGTGCTTCCTTCAAAGCATCAGCCCTCACTGCTCCACCCACCTGCCAGGTTCCGTGCCTGCTTCACCCTGCAAGCACCTGCAGAACCAGGAACACCTGTGCAGGTGTGTGCAGGAAACAACTGAAGGGCAATGAAGAAGTGCAGCCGGAGGGCCTGAAGGGCTGTCCTGGCTTCTTGCCCTGACATCCAACATCACCTGGCTTGAATCCTTGTTCCTGCCTGCCCACCTGGCTCCTGCCTACCTGCTTACCTGCCTCCTGCACCAGGGTCCTAAAGGCTACAACTCTGAAGCGCTGGGCAGCTACTGGAGGAAGAGCTGTAAGTCCTTTTAGTGGCCTGCCTTGGCACATGTGGGCACCATGATGTCCTCCAAGTAGCTTTCAGCTATGGGGACATTTGCACAAATTAGGAAGGTTGTACAAATCAACCAGGGAATGTGCACAAATTAAAGACAAGCACATTGGCAACTATTTCCAGTGGGCGTGTGCTTATACTCACCATTGCATTCAGAGCTTTGAACAGGGTATGGCAACATATTTTGTGAGTGACCCTAAAATTATCAAACACCCTACCTTTGGAATCAGAGAAGGTTTCAGCCAACCTAGCACTCTTTCCCTAGCAGAAGCCACCCAAGTGCCCCCGTAAAGTTCAGAAGAATGATGGCAAACTAGCCCAATGTCTGTCCCACCCCTGCAGAGGGAAACTGCTATTACAAGTCCAAATTGTACCAGGAAGTCACCTGATCATAGCAGTGGTATCATTCGAATTGGGGCCCTTGAATTGTGGTGCTGGAGGAGACTCCTGCGAGTCTCTTGGCAATCAAATTGGTCAGTCCTAGAGGAGATCAACCCTGACTGCTCCTTAGAAGGCCAGATCCTGAAGATGAAATTCAAATACTTTGGCCACCTATTGAGAAGGAAGGACTCCCTGGAGAAGAGCCTAATGCTGGGAGCAATTGAGGGCAAAAGGAGAAGGGGATGGCAGAGAATGAGGTGGCTGGTGGAGTCACTGAAGCAGTCGGTGTGAGCTTAAGTGGACTCCAGGGGATGGTTGAGGACAGGAAGGCCTGGAGGAGTGTTGTCCATGGGGTCGCGATGGGTCGGACATGACTTCACAACTAACAACAACAACAAACGTTCTTATCTCCTCTCTAATCTCAGACCAGTAGTCATATTGCTTGCAGCAAAGACGAAATCGAAGGAGGGTTCTGCTCTGTGTATTGATTTAGTGACAATCTGGGAGAGCTTCATGTTTCACAGAGACATGAAGGCCCAAGCTGGACCAGAGCCGATCTCAGCAGGCACACCAAACTCACCGTAAGCCATCACGATGCCCTAGTCAAACTATGGAACGGGGAAATGACTAGGGCTGTGGACACGATTGCTCTTAAGTGTCCTCTTCTGCCTGGCAGAACCCCTTATCCCCCTGGTATACACCTGAATTGCGGGCAATGAAGTGGGTCGGGAGATGTCTAGAGCGTAGGTGGAGGAAATCACGGGATGAATCTGACCGAACACACTTGAGAGCTCATTATTGAGCCTATGCTGTGGTGGTGAGGGTGGCAAAAAAGAAATTCTTCTCCGTTTTCATTGCCTCCTCACAATGCCATCCAGCGGAGCTCTTTCAGGTGGTACAAGGGCTGGTTCATCCAGGCCCCAAGAAAGACCCCGTACCACCCTTGACGGCCTGCTGTGATGACTTTGCCAAGCATTTTAAGGAGAAAATCCCTCAGATTCGTCATGAGCTGGACTCCACTAGTGACTCAGAGCCTTCTGGGGAGGTGCCAATGAGTTTCAGTTGTTGCGGCCTGATGATGTGGACAAGGTGCTTGGGCAAGTACGTCCCACCACCTGCTTATTGGACCCTTGCCCATCTTGGCTACTTAACAAAGCCAAGCATGGAATAGGGGCCTGGATCCTGGAAGTTATCAACACCTCTCTGAGGGATGGCTGGGTACCTGCCCCTTTAAAGGAGGCGGTAGTCCGGCCAGTCCTAAAGAAGGCATCCTTGGATCCAGAGATGGCCACCAATTATAGACCGGTGGCCAACACCCCGTTCCTGGGCAAGGTGCTAGAGCGGGTGGTGGTGGGACAACTCCAAGCACTCTTGGATGAAACTGATTATCTGGACCCATTTCAGTCCGGCTTCAGACCCGGGTACGGTATGGAATCTGCCTTGGTCGCCCTGTACAATGACCTGTGCAGGGAGAGAGACAGGGGAGTGCGTCCTTGTTGGTCCTCCTGGAACTCTCAGCGGCTTTTGATATCATCGACCATGGTATCCTTCTGGATAGGCTAGCGGGATTGGGAGTAGGAGGCACTGCTTTGCAGTGGTTCTGCTCCTATCTCAATGGCTGATTCCAGAAGGTGGTGCTGGGGGACTATGGCTCTGCGCCATGGCAGCTATGCCATGGAGTACCGCAGGGGTCCATTTTGTCCCCTTTGCTGTTCAACATCTACATGAAACCGCTGGGAGAGGTCATCAGGAGGTGTGGACTGTGGAATCAGTACGCTGATGATACCCAGCTCTACCTCTCTTTTTCAACTGATCCAGGTGAGGCAGTAGCTGTACTGAACTGGTGCCTGGCTGAGGTAATGGGCTGGATGAGGGCCAATAAACTGAAGCTCAATCCAGACAAGATGGAGGTCTTGTTGGTAGGCGGATCGGGCTTCAGGGTAGGGGACCTGGACTTTGTCCTGAATGGGGTAGCACTCCCTGTTAGGGACAGGGTCCGCAGCTTAGGAGTGCTCCTTGACCCAGAGCTGTTGTTAGAAGCTCAGGTGACAGCAGTGGCGAGGAGCGCTTTCCTTCAGCTTTGGCTGATCCATCAGCTGCATCCCTACCTGGAGAACGATTGCCTGGCAACAGTGACACATGCATTGGTAACTTCCCGATTAGACTTCTGTAACGCGCTCTATGTGGGGCTGCCCTTGAAGACGGTCCAGATACTTCAGTTGGTGCAAAACAGAGCTGCCAGGTTGCTGACGGTGACTGGGCATTGTTCTCATACAACCCCAGTCCTCCATCAGCTTCACTGGCTCCCCATTGAAGTCCGGGCCCAATTCAAGGTGTTGGTTATTACCTATAAAGCCCTTAACGCCTTGGGTCCTGGTTACCTAAAGGAGCGCTTACGTCCCTATGTGCCCGCCCGCCCCTTGAGATCAGCAGGAGAGGTCCTTCTCCGGGAATACTCTGTGAAGGATATGAGGGTAAGTACCCAGAGGAGGGCTTTCTCTGCTGTGGCGCCCAATCTATGGACTGCGCTCCCCAGAGAGGTCCATCTGGCGCCGTCGTTATTTGTTTTTCAGCACCAGGCCAAGACCTTTTCATTTAAACGTTATTTTAATTGTTAAATTAAAATTAAAAATCAATTGTTTATTGATTTTATATTTATGCCAGGATGTCTCCAGATTTTTATGTATTTGTATAGTTATTTATTTGTATTGGAAGCCGCCCCAAGGCTTTTGCGAATGGGGTGGCATATAAGTGTTCCAAATAAATAAATAAATAAATCCTTGGCTCCTCCAACACCCAAACACAGTCAAGGAGGCCATTGGGCAGCAAGGGAGGCTGCAAATGGTAGCATCCCCCATCTGCCCTACTAAGTCAACCCCATAGGCAGGCCCTCCAGTCTAGCTCTTGGGCAGTTCTTGGTCTCCTGATGGTGGAGAGAGTTATCTACTGGGGTATTGACTCCCCAGCTGCCTGTTCAGCCAATTTACTGTACTGGATACCCAGGTGGAAAGAGCTGGGTGAGATCTAGCCAGTTCTGCGACCATGAAGCTCCATCTAGCCACCAGGGTGGTTCAAAGCCATTAACAGATCTATGAAGATGCCCAATCCTGTCAAGGCCAACCTGAAACTCTCCAGATATTTGGTTCCCATCAGCACCAGCCAGCATGGCCAATGGAGAAGTTAGAGGAGGATTCTGGGCAAAACCATCTGATAGGATCCAGTTCAGTGATGCCTGATCTAATCCCCCTTTTTAAATCAGCAAAGCTGGTGACAACATCAACATCCATCAACTGGGTGTGTGTTGTGCAGGAGGAAATAAATCCTGGATTGTTTCCAGACTTAGACTTAGTTAAAGCACATTAATTGATTTCCGCATGACTATTTTGAGTCAGCCAGGAGCTAACCCATGGCTTTGGCTCCCCACATCTCAGAGCTCCTCTTTTCAATTGGGCCACTTTCTCTCAAGAGAAAGAACAGAAAATCAATGGTCATAATTAGCATAACATTAGAATTTAACACTGGAAAGTACCTTGGAGGTCATACACTCAACTCCCTGCCCAATTTTACATCATCCTTGGGAGATGGCTACCTGGCATTCCATTAAAAATACAAAATTCTCCCAAGTTAAGAGTTTAATCAGCAGAAATGGTTAATGCGTCTTTAATTATGTTTACAAACCATCTTTAACTGGTTTGGGATTCTTTGTCTGAGCAAGGCATTGCAAGTTTGGTCAAATGACAAGCTCAGAATGAGCACACAGAACTCTAATGGGCCTTTAGTTTTTTCATTAAACTTCATCACCTTGGCCTCAAGCAAGGGGGTATATATATATTTTCTATTGTCAATGAGTTGCATAAATGCATTATACCATTAAAAGGTCACATGATAAGAACGCTTCTGTGGGAAATGATCACTGCTCTTCCTGACCCTGGCAGTGTGGTAGGGCTTGTGTTTGACATTAATGAGTTGTCCATTCAAAACAACTTCCTCTTTTTATCCCAATAGATGCTTGGCTGCTTTCGTAGCTATGGAAATCAGATAAATTGATAGACAGACAGAGGATGGGTCTGCATTCAAGATAAGGGGTGAATTTGAACCATTGCAGAGAAAGCAAGCTCACTGTGAAGTGACCCTGTTCACAGTATGCAGAGAGTGAAGTTCTCCAGGTGGCTCCCTTGGAGGGCGTGGAGGGGCAGGCAGGAACTTGGGGCAAAGCTGTGACCTCATATTTATGTGGTCCCATTTTCCATGGATGAAACATGGCTAGAAGCACCCATGTGATCCAGAACCGGAACTGTAACTGGGCTGGGCAGAAACATGATATCCCACTAGAGTGTGTGTGGCGGGGCATGATATCCCTCTATAAGTACCTCAAAGGCTGTCACAAAGAGGAGGGTCAAGGTCTCTTTTTGCTGTTACCGGAGTGTAGGACACAGAATGATCAAGTCAAGTTGTGACAACCCAGATTCAGGCAGGGCATCAGGAAGAGCTTCCTCACTGTCAGGGCAATGCGACAGTGGAACCAGCTGCCCAGAGAGGTGGTGGGCTCTCCCACACTGGTGACATTCAAAAAGACCCTGGACAGCCATGTGAGTGGGATGGTGGAACATGGCGTCCTGCAACTGCAGGGAGTTTGACCCAATGGTCTTCATGAGCCCTTCCAACTCTACTATCCTATGATTCTGAAAGCTGGACCATAAGGAAGGCTGAGTGCTGAAGGATTGAGGCCTTCGAATTGTGGTGCTGTAGGAAACTCTGTAGGGTATGCAGAGAAGGAAAGCAATGGTTATTTAACCTTGGTCATCCCAACTCCAACTCCAACCCGAGGCAGATGACGCTTCATGTGCACCAGGCGCTGAGGTGAACAGCGTTGGCTCCTTCTCTGTGGCTTCTTCACAGCCAGTGAATTACGTCCAGTGAAACTGAAGGGAAGGGTCCAGGATCTGGGACAGTTTTCAGGAACGGTGAAATTGCAAACTTGGTGTTGAAAGTTGAACTTGACGAACCGTTGTATCTTCTGTAACTACAAAACCTGCCACCTGCAAGCTCAATGTTATTAGGAATATGGCAAATTTCTGAACATAAAAAGAAAATATCGTCTCCCTTAATGTCATCATCATTTTTAGAAAAAGCAATTGATGTCAGCTGAAGCTGTGGCTCTGAAGTCCAATTATACCATATTTCGTTCAAGTGTCAAGAATTGGAGTAATAATCCCCAGCAATGAGGAGCACACCATAAGGAATGGAGTTACCATCTCCTTGTGTTTGAGAGCTTGGCATTTTCATAAATTCACACTCAGAGCATGCCCTGCTCCATGTTCCTTCAAGGACTTTCTTGTTTGCTATTGTTTTATCTTCTTAACAATTCCTGTCCTTTGATCCTTCCCCTGATGTTGCCAAGGGCTCACTGAGGCACCATATGCATTTAGTCATGTGTGAATTAACAACCCAACTGAACATCTGAAAAATAATGGTGTTCTTTGCCTGCTGGTTCCATTTTGAATGGACAAGCAAGATACCAGATCAAATGTTCTGTCGTAACAATATCCACATGGTTAGGAATGAGATATAGACTCCCACCATGTCTGGGGAATGTTGGAAAAAGATTAGAACTAATTAGAATGTCTTCTGGTTTTAGCCAACACCCTTGTGCATTTCTTGTTGAACAGGGATTTTAAAATTTAGTTCCAAATTTTGCTTTGGGAGAAATGTGGAGCCAGTTCAGTGATGCGCATCCTGACTACCGCTAGTTGTAGCCAAGTTGGTTGCGTTTGCTTCCCTCAGAATTCCTCAAACATGTTGCCCAAGCAAGGTTTTCCAAATTCAACCTGAAATGTGGCTTCCGTGACGGAGGAAACAGCTAGCAATACATCGGCAAGGCAAGATTTACCTCTCAAGCGAGTATTCTTCCCTATCCATAACTACTGGAGATGAAAATGCTACTGGGTCATGAATGTAGGAATGGCGTGGTCATCCTTGTGCTCTCTTGCTAAATAAAGTCCCGAAATAGCAATGTTATACATGGGGTGTGGAAAAACCAAATGCACAGAGTTCGTTCTGGTTGCCTTATTTCATTTTCCTAAAGAGTTGTTGTTCTGAACCCTGTTATCCTTCTCTTGTCTGCCTGCTCTTTTATTTTCCTGGCTATTTCCCATCTCTCATCTAGGCCATTTTAAAGCACCACCAACACACTGTTACGGACACTGCAAGGGACAAAAGTGTGAAGAATGGGAGGCTGTCTCCGAGGTTGCCTGTTAAAATACAAGGGCCGCAAATGAGTTCTGAGCGAGTGCTACATGCTACAACATCGCAACAAGCCAGTCAAAGAGTCTGACCTCGGGCATCAACAACATGATGCAGCCAAGTTCCTGGTTTTGATACTTTCAATAAAAAACCTTTCCCAAGAGAGTCGAGAGAGAGGAAAGATGTGAAAATATCTTATTCACTCCCAATGAAACAAGAAGCTGCCTGCACCATACAAAAGCATACTAATAATTGGATCGTGTTCTCCTATGGCCTTTAAGCTTCTGCTCAAGCTTCGGCCTCTTCATGAAATTTCAGGAAATGCCATGATTCCTTGGGGTGGAAAAACAAGGCCCCTGACCCCCGAATCCTCTTACGCGCATAGGAGACTCATATACTACTATTATTATTTGTATTTCTATAGCACTCTTAGCAGAAGCCCTCTGGGCAGTTTACAGCAATCACCACAGAATCATACACGCATGTCACCCATCCAGAGTCTAACCAGGCCTGACCCTGCTTAGCTTCCAAGATGAGGCAGGATCAGGCCCTCCAGGTTATACATGACTGGGGCTTACACAAGGCCATCTGTGCATGCAGCAGGTAGATCTAGGACCGGCACTGCCGGGCATTCATCAGCAAAGGGGCATGGTGGCCTGTGGACGCGGAGCTCCTGTTCCCCCCAGTCCATCCCAGGGCAGTGACATTGTCTGTTTCCGACTCAACTGCACCCTCTTTTTACTTGGCTCAGTGAAGCTGCCTCCAGTTTTCCCACCGGCAAGGAAACCTTTCCCCATTCAAGGAAATGGAGTCTCCTTTATTATTGCAATGAAGAGAATCACTGGCATCCCATGTGCCAGGCCCCATGTGGATGAATAAACATGTTTTGTTTGTTTAGTCACAAAGTCATGCCCAACGCATCATGACCACATGGACAACATTCCTCCAGGCCTTCCTGTCCTCCACCACCCCTTGGAGTCTACTCAAGCCCACACCGCCTGCCCCAGTGACTCCATATAGCCGTCTCATCCTCTGCTGTCCCCTTCTCCTTTCACTGTCAAGTGTTCCCAGCATCAGGGTCTTCTCCAGTGGGTCCTTCCTTCTCATTAGGTGGCCAAAGTATTTCATCTTCAGTCTCTGGTCTTCTAAAGAGCAGTCAGGGTTGATCTCCTCTAGGACTGACCGGTTTGATCGCCTTGCGGTCCAAGGGACTCACAGGAGTCTCCTCCAGCACCACAATTCAAAGGCCTCAATTCTTCGGCACTCAGCCTTCCTTATGGTCCAACTTTCACAGCCATACCTTGCAACTGGGAAAACCCAAATAAATGTAGCAGGTGCATTAAACTGAATGGGTGGGGCCCAGGATTTGCCTTCCCTGCAAAGGAGGGCTCTGTCCATGAATGGTTCACCCTGCCAATGTGAGGAGCTCTCCGTTTCAGCACCCTGTCGCTTACCCCTTTATCAGGGTGGCCTGACTTTCTGGGTAGTGTTTTTGGGAGCCTGGAGGGATGCTGTAGGAAGGAGGGCCACAGAGTCCTTTCCCACTGGCAATGTTGATCTAGTTTAAATCTGGATCCAGTCTGCTGTGTTTGCATGCATGCATGGGTGCCTCCATATGTGTACCTGTGCACAGGTGTGCGTACCGAGCTGGCAAGTGTGTGATATAATTGAAAGAGATCCTAAAGCAGGCCTGCAGAAAAGGACTTCTTCCAAGTCAGTGTGCTATTCTTGAAGGGCTCAGTAGTAGGTAGTAGCTCATTTATATCTTCCTCTTGCAAGGAAGATTTCATAGCTCTATTTTATTATTATTATTATTATTGTTGTTGTTGTTGTTGTTGTTGTTATAACATTTCTATGCAGCCCCTTGCCGAAACCTCGGGGTGGCTTACAACAGCAATCCTGCAAGGTAGGCTAGTCTGTGACTGGCCCAGAGTCACCCAGTGAGCTGCAAGATTGCTGGAAGTCTTCGTGCTTCATTTCTGTCTTGCTTTGGCTGGCCCCCAAGTGCGTCTGTGGCCTGTTTTGGGGGGTGTTCGTGTTCA